GAATGAACTTGATAATTACTTGATAATTAACCAAAGAATGAACTTGATAATTACTTGATAATTAACCAAAGAATGAACTTGATAATTACTTGATAATTAACCAAAGAATGAACTTGATAATTACTTGATAATTAACCAAAGAATGAACTTGATAATTACTTGAGAAGAAAGGGAAAAACAATCACTAAATTCGTAGTTTTCGTAGAAAAACAATCACTAAATTCGTAGTTTAGTAAAAAAAGGATATTTTGAATAATCGATTCGATTCATTCATCCTTTGACACATTAGACAAATCATTCAGGATATATTCCTATATATATCATATTATTAAGGTTCAGGAATTAATAAATAACAATTAAATGCAATAATTAAATATAACAATTAATAAGTCATCTCATTTTTTTCCCCATTAATTAAATCTAACAAGCTATATTTTAATTAGTAATTTTGATTAAAATATTGCTAATACGGTATGAATTAATTTGTTAATTGTTAAATTTTCAGATATACTAAAACCGATGCACCATTGATGCTTATCGTTCAACTTATGGTACCATTGATCATTTGGCAAATAATACTTGGTGTATCATTTTTTCCGGATGAATTTATCGCCCAATTCTTGGATGATTTTTATGGACATGATGGTGCAGCTGGTGATCAACCATTCAATCAACCATCTTCAAATCTTATCGATACCATTCATTCACATGGTGATGTACCACAAACACCTGTAATAGCAGTAGCAGATGAACAAATTTCATTTAATTTATTGTTCTAATATTTTCATTCGTTTCTTCTTCTTTTTTTCTTTTCGCTTTTATACGTATTTCATTATCATGTAAGTATTTAATTCTGTTACTAGAATTAAAATTAAAATGAATTAAAGTTAATTCGATTAATATACATGAATTTTATGAAGCTTAATTTTAAGATAAAATTGTTAGCTACCCTATGCAACAAATTAAGATAAAGCAGGATAATATTAGCCTAGGAGATCAGTTTTCATATAATGGATGGTTTAGGCCCTGAGATGCACATCCAATTACGAGCTTTCTAACCGTAACAATGAAAGAATATATTTTGACAGTTGGAATTTTTCCCAAATTTTCTTTTTTTTTTAATTCTAAGTCATTCAATGAGTATTCGATAATAGTTATTGAGCAGAAGGAACGGGAAGAGTTAAAGCTTTCAGGAAACCAAATATGTAGAAAAAAAAAAAATGAAATATAGGGATCTGAAGAAATCGGAGAGTGGAAAGCAAACATTAAACATAGTGGGAAATGGAATAAGTTACCAAAACGAATTGGAAAAAAAAAAAAACTGCACTCAATATTATCCTGCACAGATCTCTTGCTAAAATAGGAAGCTAACAGTTGGAGGATTGAAAAACTGCAAATGATAATATATAACTTCCGTAGAAAACATTTCAAAATTAAAACTTCCAATTGGCAAAAAATAAATCCAACATGAAAGACAAAATTTTGACGAACATCTCGAGCATATATTTCATAAACTTTTGCATCATCCCAACCATTGTTCAATTTAAGCCTTCAAGAATGCATTTTATATTTCACATGAGTACTCAATCTCACTGCAAACGATGCTCCTTTTATTGCAAGCAAATTTTCAACAAACAATAACCAAAATTATAACCTTTCAAATAAACAATCTCTTACAGCGAACAAACAAAGTCTGTAAGATAGAAACAGAGAATTTAAATTTCGAGATTCATACTTTCCTGCAACAGCAATAAAACAATAATGGCTAAGAATAAGCCTGTTTACAAATAACGAAGCAAAAAGAACTTAGCCAAAAGAAGTCTCAGTTTGGTATTCTCAATTTCGATACTAACAGCTTACGAATAACGCAGCTAACAAATTCTTCATCTTTTATCAAGTGAAACTAAGAAACCAGAGTGAAATCCTATCCCATCAGCTGAAAAATCCACAAAGGGTTATCAGAACAAGATAAAATGTTAAAATGCATACAACAGGAAATAATTTTTACGCAAGAATCAGAACAAGAAACTACGGGTAAGAGATTTCCATATCCATAGATGAGTAATTCTACCTTTTCACAATGTGGGAAGCAAATTTCTACCAGAAGAATAGCATATAAGTCATCTTCATCTTACCTGGCATTATAATTTATTTCAAGCTTGTTATTGAAGATTCTCAAGGCCTGAATGGCAATTATCAGTTATTTCTAAACATATTTGTCCTTTCTTATTTTTAAATTACAAATGCTGTAAGAATTTTGTATTTCTTCCTATTTTTACCGAAAAGGAGCTTTATATGGCTTCTAATTTTTGAATATAAAATTTATCCGTTATAACTTGCTTAATCAGAGTGGCACTAAACTGTTGTACCTAATCTGAAAACAAAACACGTTACGAGATAAATGTTCTACATAAAGGAATTTATTAGATATGAGCTACATAATATTCCTACTTTTCTTCAAAACTGTTTTGTTCTTTGTTCCCACAAACTTGGCACTTTTGCTTCGTTTTAACTTGTTGGGTGGAAATTTTCTCTTGTGAATTCGCTTCTTTGACATTCTGGTTGGTTTACTATTCGGGACGGCTCCATTCGCAGATTCCTGGAAATGCATTAGTCATACAGTTCCAAATTACCTGCATTTACAGCTCCGGTTATCGGCAATTTATTTTCCATAGAAAGATTGAATATGATTTGATGTGTGATGGAGATCAATACCATATATTAAAATCGCATCTCACATTAAAGTAAAAGAATTTCGCATAAATCGAAAGTATGGAACTGTATTTCAGTTCTGCTCAACAGTCAATTCAATTCTCCTCAATACAATCAATTCTGTCAATTCTGCCCAATTCTGTCACATTTTGCTACTGAAAACAAACATACTTTCGAAAGATTGCTCTCCGACATATCCACATCGGTTTGCATCTTTTCAACTGGAAGCTTTTGCTGATATTTCTAAAAAATTACGAAATCTTTCGGTGCTAACATATCGCATTACAAAATCCTTAATGCATCTTGAACATAAAAGTAAAAATAAAATGAAAACCTTTCGAATGGTTCCACTTGAAATTGATTTCTTCTTCATTACAGACTTTCCTAAAAATTAAACGAAAAATGAACAGACATCTACAGTCCAATGGCAACGTAAGCATGTCAAGAGTACCAAGAGGATGTTGCAGCAACATTCTGATCATTTCGAAACTTAGAATCAAAATGCCGCTAGACAAGGAACGAACAAAAGTGCAATTGTAAACTTTAATCAAAATTCACTTTCAGAATTACTAAAGGAACGATCCTTAATATATGCTTATGCAAACTATAATGGGAAGAAAACCTCCTAAATGCCTATAAAATTGAAATGTTTTCACAGCTTTTCTTTTGAACTTCGCAAAACCAAGTTTTTTTTCAATATACCGAAAAGTTTAGCATTAACTTCGAATCACAAGAGAAGTCGAAGCATTACTATGGAACCAGTATTCCTCATGCACAACTATTTCAAAACATCTGGCTTCATTATATCCGTATTTACAATATGACAATTCCATTACGCAAGATCTTACAAGACGAATGAAGTAAAAAATAAATGTTAACATCATAAAATATCATGGAAAAACTGACCTTTGATACCTACTTGCTCTGAATTACCATTTTGTATTTTGTTTTTGGAAGTAATAGGATTCTTGTCTTTCAGCTCATCAGATAAGCCTGCGTTTTTCTGAAAATTAAAATTTTCCTGAAAAGGAATATTCTATTGTAGTTTAACTTTACAACATGAAATTTGACTTCAACACACAAAGTTCTTGAACATTGAGAAGTTGATAGAATTAAGTAGAAAATATGACGAGAACGGTATTGCGTCAGAAGTAACAAATAAATTTGCAAATAAATAAGCCACTAAGTATAGAAGAACCGAAGAAAGTAGACTGGTCTTAAATCCAGTTTCAAGGATACGTTTTGTTGATCCTACAGTAAACAAACCACTTATTTTACAACAGCTGAAGCTGACATATAGCACCGGAATATGAGGAAGAATTAGTCTTTCTCATTACAACACAATTATTTGAAAAATAATAAAAATAACATATAATAACACAGCATTCGAAAAGCTGTAACTTACTGCTGACTTTGAATTTGACAGTTTTTTGAATTTTGCCACAAAGAATCCATCGATATTATGAACATGTGGATAATATCGCCGAGTAAGACTGAGTGATGGGTGGAAGCGATATTCTCGGAATCTGAATTTAATTAAGATTTTTAAAAACCTTTTTTTTAAAAAACTCTTGAAAAACTTCTAAGACTTTTAAAAAGAAAAACAGAAAAGGAACCACCCATATGCAATATTTACTTCGTAAAACCTTGCACACCGATATCTAATCCCATTGCCACAAGTTTACAATCTCGTTTTCTTAATGCATAATCCACTACTGCTTCATTTTCTTCTACCTGAAACAGAAAACGACTCTTGAAAAAAACCCAGTTTAACAACAAAACAGCGATATTGTCATTCGTATATGACAATATCATTTACGAAAGCACAGGAAGCACTAAAAACTAATAACTGGAAAAAGTACTGGAATAACTTCAAAAAACAAGAAAAAAAAGCTATGAACGGATGAGGAACTTTTTTGGATGCCGAAAACAAAGACGTTTAAAGCTATCAGATAAAAACACATGGGTTACACTTACTAGAACAGAGCATGTCGAGTAAACCAGATAACCGCCAGTTTTTGAATTTGCATTAATAGAATCCAGAGCAGCGAGTATCAGTTCCCGCTGCAAAGTATGACACCGTTGAACATCTTGACTATCACGTCGTGTTTTCACACTTTCATCTTTCCAGATTACACCTGTTCCTGAGCATGGTGCATCCAACAGAACACGATCGAAACCTGAAATGGAATTTTAGATTTTGCACAATAAGAAATTAAGTTGCTGGTTAAAGAACTTCAAGACCTAAACAGATTCACATTTTCGAAAATCTGATTTTATTATTAAATCTAGATCAGTTTTACTATTATTTGATGAGATTACCACTGTTGTTAATAAACGGAATTAAAAGACGCCAAGAAATCCAGTAACCCAAACTTTAATAGCAATATCATTATTGCTTATATAATTACTATAAAATAATAAGCATATCATCTAGCTAACGTTCATAATGCCCGTATTTTTCAGCCATTTGATCAGAAATACAATAAAAAATGAAGCGTTTCCACAAACCTTGAGGCATAATTTTTGCAAATTCTCGCCCATCTAAATTACTTACAACTGCATTATTCACTCCCAAACGATGCAGATTACCAATAACTGCACGACAACGCTGCATCTACAAAGCAACTAGGTCAAACTAAGGATATAAACGTATGTGGTAAGACAAATCTGAAATAAAATTTAATTGCAAGAATTGGGAGAAAAAGTAAACCCAATACCACCCCCTCCTTTCTCTCTGAAAAAGGAAAGTAATTCGCAAAGTGGTCCGGTTTTTCCCACATGCACAACCCTAAATCCGTATCATCTTGTTTTATTATTATCAAGAAAAAACATTTCGGGATTCTGAAAGCACTTACATTGGCATCATTTGCATAAAGAACTCCAGTATTTTTCATTAATGCTGCAATATGAGATGATTTACCACCCGGTGCAGAACACACATCTAGTATAGTTTCTTCCGGTTGTGGCGCTAAAGCCATCACTGGAAGAAAGGAACTTAATCCCTGCAGCATATAATGCCCAGCAAGATATTCCGGAGTTGCACCTAAAAAATGAGATTAAATTTTGCATTTCTTTTTTTTTTTGTGTGACAAAATTTGTGTAACAGATGCAATGGAGAACATACCAACAGGAACCTGACTATCATACACAATTAAGCCAACTTTAGTCCATTCTGCTGCTGGATCGACGTTCATTCCTCTTAAAGAAATAAATCCTTTTTTTTATTTAATTTCATGCCTCTTAAAGAAATAAATTCTTTTTTTTTTTGAATTTAATCGCCAGTATTTTGAATTCAGCGAACAACCGTTATTTTACTTCACGTTTTTTCTTGTTGTGTCATTTCATTCTGTTCGCTCCTTGACTAATTACAAAATCAGGGCACAAATATCATTTTTATGGATACTATCTAGTTAGATCCAAGAGATAACAGTCCAAATCTCCAATCCAAACAGTTTGGAATACCAGAATCATTTGAGGTGATAAATTTGAAGGAGCTGAAGGATTACCTGTTGATAAGATTCCTTGCCAACTCAGCACGTCGAGTTTTCAATGAATTTGAGCGTATGATTACAGGTCGTGGCTGTTCGTTTGCTTCCAGAAATTCTAGTAACTGCAATAGGAAGAATTTCCAATAAAAGTTCCTATTCCAATAGGATATATAAAAACACCTGGAACGGTATAACGAGTACAGCGGGGAGCAGAATAAATGCAACTAGCTGTTGCACAGTTATTTGTTAGTGATACTCCTAGTTATCCTGAACATCATAAATTATATCATCCCTTACTTAATACTAATGAGCAGTGATAAGTAGGATGAGAAGCTTTGTAAAGGCCAAAAAACTTAAAATATGAATATGACAATATAAGAAGAATTAAATTTCGGACACTTGCTTCTGCGTCAGAAACAATGCATTTTTTTTTTTTTTTGTTTTTGTCACATAAAACACATAGTTACTTACCTCTGTTCCATTCGGAAAAATACCCATGAATTTTTGAATTAAATATTCATTATAACCGTAGTAACTGCATAAATCTTTTGTGAGAACAGAAATATATTCGCCTCGACTTCTAAAAACATTTTCAGATGAATAATAGTAATAAAATAAATATAATGGTAGTTGAATTATCGTGGGAAGTAACGTAAGAGTATTCTGATATCCATCGGAATTCAAAAATTAACAGCAGAGGGTTAATAATATGCAGTACTATTTTGTTGATGCTATGAACCTAAAATGTTTTTCGAAGAAATGAAGGAAAATTTAAATTTACACATGTCAATTAATTAAACAATATTCGAAATGGGACATTTTTTAATGAGAGCACTAGCATGCAGAAAAGGACTGCACTATAATTTTGGAAATGAGTTAATGCACCGGTTTGGGTCACGTCGACTTTTGAAATCACCAAGCACTTGGAAAACGTCAGAGATACGTTGCTTTAATATTCGTAAATTAGGTGTCTGTTTTAGTTCATCCTCGATTTCTTCAACTGACGGCAGTTTGTATTTTTCACCGCTTTCGATATTCAATAACAATTCATCATCAGCAAGTTTTCTAAAAGTCATAAGTAAAGTTAGTCATAACAACGTATATTTTTGTAAATCATAACAACGTATATTTTTGTAAACTGCTCAAGAAACTCTTTGAATTCCACTCTAGCATAAGTTTGTTACAGATAAATTGGAAAGACAGTTTTTTTTTTTCATCAATTTAACCACAACTATTTATATTTTTCACATATTTAACCACAAAATCAGAACAGACTCTGAAAATTGTCTCCTTAAAAAACAAAAAAGTAAACACTAATAGAAATATTTGCAGCTCCGAATTACAACTTACTCATCATTTTTCTTCTTTCTTTCCAATCTGCGAGATTTTTTCTCTACTGGCAAATCGTCTGCATCTGATTCTGATAGATCACTTGAGGAAAAACAATCATTTCCCATATCACTATCACCGTCTTCAGCTAAAATTAAACATCTTTCACCACTTTTGAAGTTATAAATTTTTGCAAAATCCATTCCAAACTCATTTTTCTGCTCATTTATTGCCTTCGGAAAGATTTCTGCGTTTCAGTTTCTTATCATAATGGAAATTTCGACCTCAAAAATTGTATCTTTGTGTGGTATTCAACTTTAACATTAAAAATGTTCGAAATACAGAAGAAAAAAACTAACAAGCAGTGTTTAAACCAGAAAAGCCCTCTCCACGTACATCGCTATCGTTCTGAAATTCAAAACACACAAAATTAAACAATCAACACAAAATCAACACAAATGCTAATCAACACAGAAAATAACAACAATAATAATAATAGCATTTCTGAATGTTTGTTATAGGTCAAAAGAGCTGTTAAAGATCACTTACTGACGTAAGGAACTGCGGAATTTTTCACAACCACTCAAAATGATATAATTAAAGCATATCATACAACAAAACTCACCTCAAATAAAGGCATCTTCTCTGAATTCAGATTTTCTGTACTTTTTTCCACTTCTCTCTTTGTCTGAGTTTTTTGAATTTTTCCGACCAATATTTTTTCCCTGGTTGAGGAATCCTGGAAATAATCCAATTAGTTTAAAAATTTAAATGCTGCTCTTGTTTCCTAGTTTGTGCTCACTATGAAAGTTAGGACACTCTGTGTATCCTTTACTTACTGTAATTACCGGCAAAAGTACCTTGTGTCTTGGAACACATAGAGAAGTGGACTAAAATGCAAGCCAAATAATAAAACCTGTATGATGACCAGAAGAGTTTTCGGGATGAATGAAAAGATCCATTAAAGGCCAAAATCAATTTAACATGCAAAATTACATTTGAAAACACATATAAATATGAACTCCACAAGGAATATTCAAAAAAAAAAGTAGTCGAAAAACTTTCGTATCATTTCTTACCTTCTCCTCTTTCGTTGATCCCATCTTTTTCCTCTTGACAGCCTTAGGACTGATATTTTCTTGAATCTGCAACTGTTAAGAAAAAAATAAATTTTTAATTCCATGTATTTTCTAATCTGAGATTTTGAATGTATCTAAAAAATATGACTAACAAATGTCCCTGTGAATTTGTCACTTTCTAATCAAATAGCAAAATATACCACGTATTTTAATGGATATTAATAACTTCCGTTACCCCAAAATCTCTATTCTGTGGTTTGGCAAATTTTTTCTCATAATATAGGAGTTCCATCAGACACTACTCTATTCATATAGTGAACTCATAATATAAAAAATACAAGTCAATCATAAGTCAATCTGTTTGCTTTTCAAATGCGACAGAAGCAAAGCAGATCTTGATCAAGATGCGGGTAATTGGACTACATTGAATACTGTTAGCCATAATGTGACAGAGAGGCAACATAACAATAGAAATTGATATATTGTCACTGTTACATTAGTTTCAGCAATGTTTGTATAGTGATATACAATAAAAGTTCTACTACAAAAACTAAGAATTATTTCAAAAATTCAACTCTTTCACCTTCTGAATGAGTTGCTGAGTATTCTTCGTCTCTGTGGCTGGCTCCTTCTCGGTTTTAATAGTTCCATCTTTCTTCAACTTCTTTTTCCCTATTCGCTTAGCAAAACCGTCTCGCCTAAGCTGCTTCTCAGTCAACTTATTCTCTCCTAAAACCATCTGAAAAACCGCTCAATTAAAAAATACATATAATTTTTTTTTTTAAACTCCACTGAATCCTGTCTTAGAAAAAAATCCTGTTTGCATTTGATTTTTCGCACGACGCTTATTAACTACACCTATATTTTCATTGAAGAACAAGGATAAATTACAAGCAAATAATTTTCAAAGATCTGAAGATTTTGATTAAACGTGTTAAAGTTTAAATTCTAGAATGTTGAATCCAGTCAAATATTATTTCAGGAAAAAAAAACACAGTTCTATCAATGATGACTGCATTTACCGAAATGTGACATCATAGATATTTGTGAAATCCGTTTCTTTACTGCTGAAATATTTTACTTTAAAGGATCCAACTGTCATTTCAGAATGATGCTTGTTAATGAGAGAAATGCAACAATTACAATAATCAACATATAATCTGCAAAACAGGTCCAAGAGAAAGGAGAAAAAAAGTTCTGAACAGACCAACAAGTTAAATAAAGGTCATTCTTCAACACATAGAAAGCTTACTTGTCAAACAAACTGTATCCTTTTTATTTTTACTTAATGATTTTCCAGATAAAATACATCGTCTTGTCTGCACATACTTTTTCCGTGATAATTTCTTATCTTAATTGATCATTTGGAAGAACCGTTCAAACAGTAACAATAGACTAATCCACGACCTTTTACATTTTCCGTTCCTAACCTTTCAATCTACTCTTCGTTCTTGTTTCAGTATCCATCAATGATTAGCTCATATATATATATATATATATATATATATATATATATATATATATATATATATATATATATATATATATATATATTATTAT